GATGGGAAAATTTGGGGATTTGAAGTCCACACATCTTCAAGCTGCCAAGGTTGAGAAACACTGGCCTGGAGTCACAGACCATGCTTCTCCGAACTAATCACATTGCGGCAAGTTCATTGAGTGAGGACTAGAACCTTATATTTTGGGGGTGGGGTCGCACCTACGTTCTCTGTAATGATTGTTTTCTGTGCAGGATGGAGGCAGATGGCAAGATGTACGTGAAATACCAAGTGATTGGGCAAAATCACGTGGCTGTCCCCACCCACTTCTTTAAGGTGCTAATCCTAGAAAAACCCAACGGGGAAGTGGAACTGCGGTCCTACGTCATGCCCAACACCCCCGTAGATGAGAAAGTCCCCCTGGAACGTTTCCTGGTCCCCATCGAGAGCATCGAGAGGGCGTCGGGGCTCCTCTTTGTACCCAACATCATGAAAAGGACCAGCAACTTGAAAGCAATCACAGCTGGAAGCAGGGCCTAAGGACGGGTGTGGTGACAGACTGCCGCCAAACCTCTGCGAGCGGCGCCGGAATGGGCTCAACCAGAAGACCCAATCGTAGCATCTTCACCACTGACCTAACAGGGTGTTTTCCTAGCCTGTGGCACTCCCCCCACCCCCCAATCCAGTTTCGTAGCTGGTTGAGAACCATTTGCAAAGAAGGGCGGGGGGAGATAATAGGAACAAAAATTGCTTGGTTCTCAAAGCTGGAAAGAATATGGCTGTTTGAAGGACCTCAACCCAAAACAGGACACTTAAGACACAATTTGCCTTCAGTAAACGCCCCAAGGACCTTGGAGATGGAGAAACGGAACTGCAGTTGGTGGGACAGCCTGCAGGCAGGAGGGGGGATGTTTCGTTCCCTCTACAAATGCCATGAAGGAAATTTAGAATTTCCCCAGTCCTATGGCTGGGGGGAATCAGTGGGGCAGAGGGGTGCTCGCCTCATCTCAGGGAAAGCAAAATGCCGTCACATTTTGGGACAGGGAGAGACAACTGATACCATTTGACTGGTTCTGCGAATAAAACAAGATGAAATGCCCAGAGATAGCCCTGGAATTTTGTTTTCAAAAACTAACAGCTGATCCCTACAGTTCTGCCTTGCAGCTGTATAAATGTCCTAAAAAGAGGGGAACGCTCCCACGTGATATCCTAACCCCAACAGCACTTATGCCCTATACTCTATATTCCACATTTATTCAGTTTGGGGTTCAGTAGGTTAGGGGACCCCAGCCAAGGTGGATTCTATGAACCGTGGTGAAGCCAACCATGGTGTTGGTTTAGTGGGAAAACTGGGGATCCTTGGTGGGGCTCATAAGATGAAGCTCACGTAACCCCCTGCCTGGCTCCGTCCACTCCCAGCCTCCGACTTTCAAAATGGGGTAAAAAGGCTGCAGTGTTACTACCTCCTTGCAAATAGCACTTTAAAAAGAGCATTTTTTTCACCAACACAGACAGTGAAACAGCATCTCCTTGTTCCAGCTTCAACTGCAGTTCCGTTTTTGAGTTCCCTCCCTTGTTACTTCATACTTAAAAAATACCAACGTTGATAACATGTAGAGTGGCCTTCCCCTTTTTCGGAGGGAGCCCTTGATGAGCCGCAGAAAACCTGGGCAGTCCTCGAACCAAGGCCGTGCACTCCTGCAAAGCCCGAATGTGGTTTGTTGGTGGCTTAGCATGCGTGACCCCAAGCATTGTGGTGTATTAACACGGCTTAAAGCTTGGCACCCGGAAGCCACCAGATGTTTAGGACGTTTTCAGATGTGTAAATCCAGGCTGTTTATTCTGGGGGTGGAAACATCACTGGGCATGGCCAATGGCTCCTTCCTACGGCACAAGCTTTGTATGCAGAAAGGACTGGGGGCTCGATCCTTAAACCTGGAAACAATTGGAAAACACAACACCCCTCCTTTTGAAAAACAAAAAGGAAAAAAGATAATTTTAACTTGAAGGTCCAGAAGCCCTGCTTCGTCTGAAGGGAGCCCTGTGCAATTAAAACAAGATTCTAATTTTTTTTTTTTTACAATTGCATCCTCTAGCAATGTTTCTTCAACTTGGCAACTTTAAAAGGTGGGGAGTTGAACTCCCAGAATTCCCCAGCCAGCATGAATTCCCAGAATTCCCCAGCTAGAATTCTGGGAGTCGAAGTCCACATGTTTTACAGTTGCCAAGTTTGAGAAACACCGCTCTACAGTCTGTCTTAAACCCCACGGAGTCAACAGCGCACACAGGGGCTTCAATGGCAGGGCCACCCTCTTGGCACCCCCTCCCCAGATGCCCCAGCTGGTGAATTTAGGGGCAGCTTGTCCAGTCCTTGTGCATTTCTTAGCCACCAAAAGGATGATCCAAGCCCATGAGAAAAGCACCTTTAATTCTCTTCTCTTTCAGCCGCTGGGGCTTGCTCACGTCCCATGCTCAACTTCCACTTTGGCCTTTCTTAGTGGCTTCGACGATCTTGGGCCGCAGCGCCGAGAGAGAGACAAGGAGGGCTTCCTAAAAAGACATGGAAATAGTTGCGCTTAGCCACTGGTTGAGAAGGAGCACCGCTCTCTCCGACGGTGATGCCCCACGGGGTCGGTCGAGGATCCAGAAATGGATCAGAGTCCTAGGCTTTGCTGTTGGAAACATCTGGAGCTCACCACTGCTATGGTTAAGAGCTTGGTTTGGGGGTAGGGTCCCCCTGCGAGAAAGTGTCTGGGCAGAGCCCAACTTGGCCAGGTCCACACACTGTAACCAGCCAGCCCTCTGACAAGCGGGGGGCCCTCAAATTTTACAAGGGCCTATTGTGGGGTTCACGGGGAAAACGAGGAGCAAAGTCTAGGGAAAATTGTGACCTGTGTGTGATTGATAGATCAATAGATAGCCCCTGCAAGTTGTGATAAATAAATAAAATAGACAGAGATAGGTAAGATACATAAGAGACAGACAGAACGGACGGACGGACGGATAGAATGTATAAGATTGAAGATAGATAACAAGAGGTAAGAGAGATAGATAAGTATATAAAATAGAAAGATTAGACAGATAGATTAGATATAGATGATAATGATAGATAAAATGAGATTAAATAGATAAGATCGATCAGATAGATAAGATTGAAGTTAGATAAGAGAGAGAAATGCATATAAGATAAAAATATGAAAGGAGGTAGACAGACAGATATAGAAGATAAAACAAGAGATAGATTATGTTAGATATGATATGATTAGATTAGGGAACATCCTGCAACCATCCTGGGGGTCCTGCCCCATCCTGAGAACCTGGCCAGAAAGACCAGGCACACCTCGAAGGGATGATCGGTAGCAACCTGGCTTACCTCCGTCCTGATGGTGCGACTTCCTTGCCCCGGACAGGTGTTTAAATACAAGTCAAACAAGGTACTGGGGTCGGTTACGTCCAGGTTCGGATCGGCCTCCACTCCGGCTTCGAGGCCTTGCAAACCCCCAAAGACGATTAAAGCGTGGCTACGAGGAAGAGACAAAGCAAGAAAGGGTCTTGGGGGGCCTGCAGGGCTCGGCTCCCGCAAGGCTGAGGCAGAAACTCCCCTGCTGCTACCTGAAGGAGGGTAGAGTGGCCTGATCCACGGAGGATCCTCGCTCCGAGGTCCCGATGGAGAGATCGTAGCCATCCTTAAACGGGGATTCTGCAAAGACAGCGCCTGGTGGTGAAGAAAGAGAGCGGCCCAAAAGTGACTCCACGCAGCTTTTAAAAGCCGGGCAATAACGAGACTGAGGTTGTCAAGGCAAAAGCCGCTCAAAGTTCGAATGCAGAAATGCTTCACGGTGCCACCTTTTCAGCCAGAAATAAATATAAATAAGTAACAGATTTTATCCCATTTGTGTGAATCAGGGACCCAATTTAAAAAAGAACACTTGCAAATTCCAGATAACAAAATCTGAAACGCAATAAAGCCCGTTATTATACAACCAAATGAAATAATCCTAGCTATTTCAGACAATTCCTGTTTTTTCCCCCCTGTTTTGTCTCTCCATCTTGGGCACAGAATGCATGCATGCATGCATGCAGAATATTGTTTTCAGCCATCATTTTGTTTAAAACAGCAACATTGGTCAGCATACCCGGCCAACTTTTTTTTTTTTGGCCAGGGTGAGTTCACGTATGATGATAAGGCAAACCAACGACATTACGCATTTTGTGGGGGGAAACGTGTTTTTTCCCCAGCTTAGCCAGGAGATTGATAGACTAGCCATAAAGGAGAAATAAAGGAATAGAAAAATAAGAAAAATATACTGGATTTTCTCCCTGCCATTCTCAGAGATCTCGGCTAAAAGCGTTTTGCTTCCTCCGAAGGTCGTTCTTGTCATTCAACTCCTCTCTTACTTTTGCTTTGGGTAAAAATTATATTGGGAGAGAAAGATTGTAGGATCATGCAGACTTACTCAGACACGAAGCTAATCGGACGCTGTAACCCCAATAAAGGCCAGAAACGGTCCGGGGACTTTGTGACGATATGACAACACCCTTCTGCGTCTTGCTCTCTAAAAGAGAAAAGAGTCAACTGGCCGAACTTAATCAGCTACTATTTTTATTTTCCTTATTACAGTATTTCTCTACAGCCCCGATCACCAAACTCTGGGCAGTTTTTACAATCAGTGAAACAGCTGAATAGCAGGAAATCCTATGTATTAAAAAAAAACATTCTGAAATAATTGCTTGAGGTACGTTTGGGTAAGGTGCCAATTCAATTGACCCTCTTTATGGAAGAGCAACTTCCACACCAAAGGGTGGACCACCCCCTCTAGAGATGCTCAAACTGCAGAGGTTGGAAGAGATCAGAGGGGAGGAACCCCCCCTCCAAAATTCTGGTCTCACTTGAAATTTGGTGGCAAAATGCTGAATTTTGGTGATGCACTTTGAGAAGTTCAAGATGCAATGTTAGCAGGAGGCTTCTGAGAAGGTGGGGGCTCCCAGGCCTTAACCTTCTCAAAAATCAGCTGCCCCGCCCCAATTTCAACCTTGCCTTTGCTGGTGACATCACCATGCCAGAAAGTTGGTGATATCACCTCCAGAAAGTTGGAAGGCCAACGGGCAACCTGTGATGACCTGTCAGTTGACCCATCTTGGACTTTCTCCAAAATCTCCTTCCAAGTCTTCAATCCTGATACTGTAATAAGTGGGAATAATCCAAAAGAGGAGAACACCCCATCTCCCAACAAGGAATATTTCTATTTACATTTGTTGGCCATGTGTCTCGGAGGGCACCCAAGTCCTTCAAGACTTCCACTCTTCCTGGACACCACTCATCTCCAGCCTGGTCCTCTCCAGACCTTCTGGAATATGCCTCCTTGATGTTCTCCCGACCCGTAAACATGGACCCTTCTTAAACTTGCCAAAGCTTTGTGCTAATTTACCAGGCATAGACATGGCAGAGACCAGCTCTGACTTGACTGTCTAAGTCAAGACAAGGACTTCCAATGTTACCTGAGTTCTGCTTTTCATCCAGACGCACCGTGACGCGAAGACCAGCTTCCAATGGCTTATCTATCTGGACCTCCTGTAGGAGAGCGACACCCATGTGGAGCCTGATGCCAAGACTGGGAAAACTCTTAGCCTGGGCAATCAAACCAATGGGGGCAATTGCAGCCTGTAAGCTCCTCCCACTTGCCAGCCATTGGCTGAGCAGCTGCTCCGTCACAGAATGTTCACGTCCATCCCGAGGGAGGGCACAGAACGTGGACTGAAAAGCCAATGCTGAGTCAGGTCAACGCAGCTTGACTGCGATGAATTACCTTCCGCATCCCACAGTTAACAAAAGACCCTCGGCCAGGCTTGGTGGGTCGGGCCAGAACAACCCCTTCCCGATACTGAGATTCTTCGTCCATCCGGACATGGTGGGGACTGTCCAGAGGGTTCAAGAGCCCTGAAACAATCGCCAGAAACGGCATAAAAAACTTTTAAGTCACTTCTACAAAATCAAGCCACACCCAAGGCAATTTCTCCTGTTCCAAAATGTTGGCTAACCGGTGGGTTGCCTTTCCTTCAAACTGCTAAAGCCAGGAAATATGGTTTTCCTTCCATCAGATCCTCACAACAACCCTGCGGAGCAGGTAAGGCTGAACAAATCCCCAATAGCTACAGGAAGGCTGCTGTATTGATGATACGAGCCACAACCACCAACTACCACAAATCGTATGTTTGTCTCATATCATGACATCATCATGGTTTATTGCAGACCCACATAATCATAACTTGCACCCCTGTGGCTCTAAACCACGATTGGCAGAAACCCTTCCAGAAATGGAATGGGGGGAAGAAAGGAAACAAACCACGGGAAGAGATCTCCAAACTAACAATCCCCGCAATTCTTAGTGGTCACAGAGCTTGTCACGCACAGGTTGACCGTGGCTCACTCACTCCATTGTGACCGAAGATGAGACCAAATCCAGGCTGGAAGGGGACATATTTGTACCCCCATTTCATTGGCAGAACCACCTCATCCTCATCATGGTCTATATGAGCCACTTAGGGAGAAGAAGAGAAGATGGCTTGCCAATGCTATGGGACCAGGACTGAACCCAAGTTCCTGCAAGAGAATGTCAACCAGCCCTTCATCTCCCAAGTTGGGGGATCAGCACAGGGGGTCTTCCCAAGGACCCAACCTCCTGGAAGACCCAACTGATCTCTGCTGCCAACAGATGCTGCAAACTGGAGATCATGATCACCATCACCACATTATGATGGTTGGTCGCCCAGTCAGCCAGATGTTTCGACTGGATTTGGTATTTCTGTCCACCTCTCGAGTCCTTCCCAAGGACCTGGGATGGACAGATATTGTTGGGGTTAAAGGTACTGTCACAGGATGGAAGCTGTTCCAAGTGAAGCGGCCTTTTGCAGCAGCAACAATAACAATAATGATAATGATGATGATAATAATAATATTAATTAACAACATTTCTATGCTGCTCAATGGATTTGAGTGTCTGGGGAAGCTTTAGCAGAAGGGAAAGATCACAGCAAGCCCTTCACTTGCCCAATCACTGAAATAGTGGAGAAAAAGCACTCTCAACGGTTGGATTCCCACCACACCCTAAACCTGGGTTAACAAAACACAAAGTGCCCCCCTTGCAATGTCCAAATCATCAACTGCATTCTGTCAACGCAATGGCCCTCAACGAGCTACGGCAAGGGCTGGTTTCCCACAACAGGCAGACCCCCCAATTCCTCCGCCCTGTTTTAGCCTGCTTGGTTGTGGGAATCCTGCCAAGGGGGCAGAGAGCTGCCTGGAGACATCTAGGCCACAGGAGTCCGGGTCTTACCGGCAAACTGCAGGTCCTGGTGTTTGGGGAAAAAGGACTTCCTTAGATACCTGTGCAAGAAAGAAGAACACAGCACTGCGGAGACCTGTTGTTTTTACTAGAAAATGGTTGCCAGCCTGAGCTACAAAGCAGATGCCAACCTGAGCCACTAATAATATACTAATAATACACCCGCCACCTTTCAGGGCTCAGCGAAAGCTGAACATGAAATTCAGCGGGCAGAGAGAGAAAGAAAGGGGGCAGGAAAAAGAAAAGGAGCCCAACTCCTAAAGGCCAAACAAGACGTTCAAATAAATTTACATTTTTAAAAATGGTAAAGAGGCTTCTTGAATTAAGAAGCTAGAAGTCTCGTTAAGATTATTCCCAAGTTCAGGGCAGGGATGGGCAAACACCCCTTTCCAGAAGAACAAACAGTCCTTGCTGGAAATTGGAATGCCAACCGTAAAGAGGGCACAAGGATGATTTAAAGGGAAGTGAGCAGTGAGACACGTGGAATTCACACTCAGGGAGACCGGGATCCCCAGCGGGCCCACAGCAGGACAGCTGTGCCTCTGCGTTTCCCTTCCACCCAACCGGGCTTAGCCTTCCCTGATTTCATCTTCACCAGATGTGCTGGTTCTAACTCCCATCGCTTCCAGGCAGGAGGGGAGTGGGGCTCGGGAGGGGAGCCCCCACACGTTTGGGTCGAGCAAAGCAACCAGGGTAGAAAAGGAAGACAGCCGGCATCTTGCGGATCTTCAGGACCACAAGCCCCAGAGTCCCTGGGGCTGCTGGAAGTTGAAGTCCCCAACAGCTGGAAGGCGCCGAGGACATGACCGCGGCTGGTTTCGGCCCCTTTCAACCAGAAAGACCCTGCCAGGTGACTCACTGGGGACACTCCAGGTACTGAAGGATCCGAGCCAACTGCACGCAGGCCTGTCCTTTGCCCCGGATCCCTTCGAACTCGCCTTCGATGGTCCTGAAAGGCAAGCAGCAGAAGTCACCGCAGAGCAAAAATCGAACCGGCCACCTGTCTGCAAAAAGTGAGTTCGGCCCCCCAAATTGCTTGGGAGAAAACTCAGGGTACAAACGCCGAGCCTGATTTTGCAAGGGTGCCCGTGGAATTTCAAAAGCGTGCTGGGGCACTCTCACAACATGACCGCCACCACCACCGGGCCACTCGTAAGCACCGACCGGCTGCTAAAATTATTCTTCCCACCCGGAAAATGTTGTTCGCTCTTCTTCTTGGACACGCTCCCCAACCAAGGCCTGTTCTGCAGCCGCGCTCTGGCGTTATCTTTCAGACAGCCTTGAACTAGTTTTTCTCAATTTATTTCAATTCGATCTATATCAGTTTCTTTCTGGTCATCTGCTCTTCCAGTCTCCTGTATTTTATACGTTGGGTTTTAGTTGTAAGTCCCCCGCAGGGTCTGGGAGTCAGGGGCCCCTCCAAATTAAATAAATAACAACTCAACAGAATAAAGATCTTTCTGGAGGACTGTTTCGTGGCACTCAAAATTTCCCCAGACCCAGGACTCCAGTCCCCGTTCATCCTCACCCAGCTGAGCCCGATCGGTTACCCTTAACGGGACTTTGTTCCCCAAAACAGGCCAAAAAGGAATGAAACTGAGACCATCCCCTTACTTGGAACTTTCTCCTTCTTCATCAAACACCACAATTTCATCCACGCAGAAGATGACGCAGGCGCGGGCTATCTGCCCGGCGAGATACGTCCGCAATTCGGGGGACTGCGCGTTGCTTAGAATCGAGCCAGGAACAGCCACGCTGACTGTGTAGTGCCGCCCTAAGAAAGAAGGGGGGAAGTTAGAAGGGACCCCACCCCCAAGTGGTCGCCAAGACGGTTTACATAGGTTTATCCATCCAATCAGATTTTGATCATAGTACAGGCAGTCCTCACTTAACAACCATTCATTTAACAACAGTTCAAAGTTACGATGGCCTCGGAAAAAGTGCTTTACAACCTGTACTTGCACTTACAACCATCACAAACTGTTCCCCCCCGTGGTCACGTGATTGTGATTTGCGACTTTTTTATGACAGTTTTTAAGCAAATCACTGCAGTCGTTAAGCGGATCACGTGGTCAAGTGAATTCCAGCAAAAAAGTCCATTGGAGAAGCTGGGTTTGTTTAATGACCTGATTCATTTAATGACTGTCGTAAAAATTATCATAAAATCAGGTCTGCTCATGTGATGACTCGCTTAATGACTGCCCCACTTAACCAATTTTGTGGTCCCTATTGTGGTCGTTAAGTGAGGAGTATCTGTAGTGTACATTTGGTATGGTTGCTTGGTGGATTGTGGATTGGAGACCACTGGGAGAGCTCAGCTTGACACCCTCTGGAAATAATGAGATTGCAACCCCCAGAATTCTTGCCCGCATGTTGCAGTCCCAATGCTTCTGAAGAGCTCCAGGTTGGAGAAGGCTGATTTATGGTCTAAGCCACTGGTAAACCCAGCCAAATGGGGTTCGTTCTCAACAAACCAGAGTTAACAAAAATGGTGCTAGGCATGAACCCCACCAGTATGACCTTTCCCATCTGTAATCTTAGTGTTTCCCAACCTTACAATATTAGAGTTTGTGGACTTCAACTTCCAGAATTCCCTAGTATGCTGACTGAGGAATTATGGGAGTTGAAGTCCATACATCTTAAAGATGCTGAGGCTGAGAAAAGATATTTCACATCTTAGTTACGGGAAGATAGCTTGAATAATCGGCTGTCCCACTCCCCAAGATTACTGCATTAAGTGAGTTTCTGGGTTTTGCACTGCTGATCCATAAACTAGCAAGAACAGGCTAAGCCACAAAAAGAAAAATAAACCTAACTTAGGTTAACCCCAAACCCATCATGCTGTGAGAACGCACTTAGCCGCTCTTGGCCCAAGCTGGCTAAGCAGGTTGTGTGAACCCAACCTTGCTTGTTCCCCAAAGCTAGTCTGGTACCCAGCCAAGTTTCTTGCATTTTGGCAGCCACCTTGGTCCTCCTTCGGCTTTGCCTCTTCTCTCTCCTTCTCCATCAGCTCCCGGGCTCGCTGCTTCTCCAACTTCTTCAGCAGTTTTATCTCTTTCCATTTCTTCTTCTCCTCTTTTTCTAGAACAGAGAGAAGAAACAGGGATGGAGGATCCTCAAAGGCCACCGACGCCACCCTACTAGCCATCATGCCTGGCCTGGGCCCGCAGGCTGTGCAAACTCAGGCACCGAGGTTCATGCACCCTGGCTTAGAGCAAGGGATCTTGTCCCAACCCAGCCAGTTGTGGTTTATTCATTAAACCACAGCTAGATAAACCACGGCTTAGTGCAATGGGCTGGGCCAGCCACCAATTCAAACACTAATCTCCTTTCAAATGAAGATAAAACAAAGTAGCTGTAGTTTGGTTGGTTTAGCTTGGGCTCAAAGTGCTGTGTGAATCCAGCCAAGAGCAGTTTATTCAACAAACCACCATAAAGCTAACTATGGGTATAAACCAGGTATAGAATTGGACAACAGAACTGGACCTCTACTTAAGAATCAGGTCTGGCACGTTCCCCACTATTTTATTATAGATTTTAAAGGAAAAATTCACTTATTCATAGTTTCCGGCTTTAAAGATTTTAGCCTTTTAGTTTTATACCATAAATGTTATAGAACCTTTGAGATCCTAAATGCTTTCCCAAAGCATAGTCTTATAGCTATTTTATAGCTAATAGTAACTTTTAATGCTGTCCATTGCATTAAATATAATGCAATAATTATCAGTTATTTCATTATAATTATTGCATTACATTTAATGCAAGCATTAAAAGTAAAATAGCGTTCATACTAATTAATTAATAATAGTTTAAATAATTAAGTGTTTATCATTCAATTATAGATGGTAAGAGAAACTACTGATCATTCTGGGATTAATTCTGTATTGTCTGTTTTAGAACTTACTCTCGTTAAAGACCAAAATAAAAGTAGAAAATTAACTCCACTGATCCTTCCTAACTCACAGCCTGGTTCACATAACATGCTAACTCTTAAACCTGGATTAACAGAACATTATACGGTTGGGTTCATATAACACGCAACATGAACAAGCAAACCCCATTACGGTTTCATGTGACAAACGGTTCACACAATGCCAAACCACCAACCTTCAGCCTAGTTAGGTGGTTGTGTGAACACAGGCTCCCAATCTCTTTCTCCCCCCCAGCATCTGTATTTCCCCCCGTGCTTTGTTACCGATCAACTTCTTTTTCCAAACCTTTTAAATTTTGCTTTTTATGGGCCCGTCTCCCCTGAGATTAAAAAGGTGCAGCTTTGAATCTTTTTTTTTCCTGAAGATGGAAGGAAAAGTTTGGTTTTATAGGGGATAAAAGCAATAGGCCCCCAAGAGAAATCAGGAAGAACGACAAGGTCACCCCTTCAATTACAAACTGACGGTAATTTTTAGGTAGAGTTAACAGCATCTCGCATCCTTCCAACCAGCAATCAGGGTTTCTCCATAGACAGAACAGACTCCCAGCTGCTCTTTTTAAAAAAGATAATCTTTTTAAAATATCTGCTCTTACTTTGCTGTTTCCATTTGCGCCAATCCATCTTTCCTTCTCCTCCCTAGAAAACAGTGCAGAGATTTTGTCAGCTGGGAAGATAAACCTCGATTTGTTCCCAAACCCAGTTTGCAAACTGCTCCCTCCACCCTGTTGCACACCTGCTTCTGTAACCCACCCAAGGTTATAGGGCAACTTCCACTTAATTTCCCCCTCCAAGGGCATCATGTGACTTTTGCATTTATTTATTTATTACAGTGTTTTTCAAACTTGGCAACTTTAAGATGGGTGGACTTTAACTCCCAGAATTCCCCAGCCAGGAATTCTGGGAGTTGAAGTCCACGCCTCTTAAAGTTGCCAAGTCTGAGAAACACTGATCCCTGTTTTGCTAACCTGCCTGGTGTAGAAAGCTGAAGGTTTGAAATCTTTTTTTTTTCATCTCTTAAGAAAAGAAGTCCCAACTCTGCATTTTGGAAAATGCCACCGGTTGCTTCTTTCTCTTTGTCTCCCCCACACAGGCCGAGTTCACCCAACATGCTGAAACCAGGTTAAAAGAACAAAAGGGTGTGTCTGCATTACACAGGAGGTCCAAACAAACAAGCAAACCAACCAGATGAAGCGTAGCCTCATGGCCTGGTTCACCCCTTAGGCCAGCATAAGGCTGGGTTCCCACAACGCGCTGACCCGCAAACTGCCCAACCCCACTTAAACCTGGAATAAGACGTTGTGTGAATCCAAGCCGGCCCGCCCCAAGCCCCTACATGCACCTTCCTCTCTCATGCGAACTCACACTGGCGATATCAGCCAGCCTCCTCCCTGCGCAGCAACTCAGCTGGGCCGACTACAAGGCCCATCATCCACGGCGGATGCGGAAAGAGGAGCGCTACCACCCCACCCGGATCTGGCGGACGCTAAACACCCAGGACGCCCTCAGCGCAAGGGAGTTCTCCTCGTCCCCAGGAGGCCCATCGCCAGCCTCCCCCCCCGGGCCGGTGAATTTCCACGGGGCGTCCCTGAAACGTTTTGCAGAACAGGAAAATAAATCCATTTTTGCAAATCCCCCGCGACGACGATGCAAACGCCCGCGTGGAGCCTCCCTGCCCAGGAGCAGTGGACCAGCCTGAGGTGCCGGGGCAGCGCCCCGGGAACGCCCCCGCGCTGCCCCCCGGCCTCGCACGGGAGCGGCTGGCGCGCCCCGCAGCCCCCTTCCACCCGCTCCTCGCACGCGCGCACCTCCCGCACGCGCTGCGCCGC